CACACACACACACACACACACACACACACACACACACACACACACACTTACTTCAGTGTTGTTTTTTCTCAATTCCAGCTAAATGTACGAGGCTCATGTACATGACTAAGATCAGATCTACATAGAATCATATGCACGCTCTGATTCCTCTGACCTCCTTTTTTTTTACTGAAGATTCACTCTAATGGTCACGTTCCTGCATTTGGTTTAGGCTGTTTGTTGGTAAATTAATGCTACAACTCCTGATTAAAGCTAATGGGGTTAGCCCCAAAGTTAGCCACACCTCCTGTAGAGGCTCTTAAAGGTGGGCTGGCTTTTAATGTGATCCAGCTTCAATTTAGTGAAGAGCCACTATCTCTGAGCTTTGCTCAACATCAACATGTAAAGAGAATAAACCTGCCTGAAGGTGTGGAGGCAAATTATACGGTCATATGTTAAACAATTACCATATTTTCACACAATAAATGAATATGATGGAAAAACAGGTTCCTCTCCTGAAAACAGAATTGCTTTCTTTAGCATTTCAGTTTAGCGAAATAATAAATTGACAGAGTCAAATTAAATTCCTAAATACACATTTGAGCAGTTTAGACTAATATTTGGTCAAAATTGTGATTGCCAAAAAGGAGACTTAAGTTTTATGTATTTTTAGTGTAGTTGTAGTTTAGTTTAATATATATATTTTAAGTTCCTGTCAAATTATCCACTTAGATGCTGAAAAACAACAGGAAAAAGTCTGGCAAACCAATTTTAAAACATGTTCAGATGAAGTCAACCAGCCGACAGATCCTTGGAAATTCTAGGTTCACGTACTTAGATGTTCCCACAGCAGCGGGACACGGCTGAAAGCTTTAGGAATAGCCAAGTAAGTGATCAAAATAAACCTCAATGCTCAAACAAACATGGATGTTTAGATAAAGGTTGTTTTAGATTTTCCTTTTATGCATCTTTGTCAAAACACAACAATGTAAAAATACCTTTAACAAATATGTATTTGAATGTATAACTGTCTGGAAAAAAATTGAGGCTTGCAAAAAAATACTGGTGGCTGAGGTACAACCAGACCTGTGTGTGTAATATACATCTGCAAATTATAGCCATGTCTGTCACACAGCCTCTACTTACAGACCATGCATGGCAGTGTGTGACAGAGGGGAATCTGTGTGTGTGTGTGTGTGTTATAGTAAGATACACCTCATTACTCTGTATAAGAGCTATTCTCTTTAGCTTTGAACCAGATCCATCCAATGCTGAAGCACTCATCTAACACACACACACACACACACACACACACACACTCACACACACACACTCACACACACACACCTTATGTGCTACAGAAGGTGTTTAAACTTCTAATACAAATGAAGCAATCTACATTTTATCACATAATTACGACGCGATATAACAGCCAACTCTCTAATTGAAATTAAATGCTTAAATAGAGACTGCTGAGCTGTGAACCTTACATGTGTCTGACACAAGAAGAGGAAACACAGAGGCCAGTTTCAACACAAGGGTTGAGCAAGACTCCTTCAATTTACCATAAATAAGTGAAGTTATGTTTGTTTTTGATTTATTCATTAATTCAAAGTTGTCATCTGAAGCCGTACCCCTTTAATGCACCCAAGGAAATCATGACTCTCTAAACGACATATAAGATAATTGAACTCCTTCAGACTGTCAACTAGTCAAGTACATTTTTATTTATATAGTATTTAAGATAAGGAAAAACTACCCCCCACAAAAACCCTTTAACAGGGAAAGAATGGAAGAACCCCCTGAAGAGCAAACATAAAACAAAGTAAGAACATTAAAAAATACATTTTCTCTAGCTGTGATGTGAAACCGCCATGTGATCTGCTCAGGTTTAAAAACTGCCAAGCTTCTGAGAACAAACCCGTCTTTCCAAAAAACGCCCCCGCAGGAGCTGTTCCTGGCACTGACACTGAAGGTGGAGGCTGATACTCCTTCAACTGGAAAACCAATCACCATGGTTTCCAAGCTAACACACACACACACACACACACACACACACACACACACACACACACAGTCTGTGTCCAGCCTCCTGCAGTGGTACCATGTGTTTTCAATGAGCAGTAGGGGGTCAAGTTACATTATGACTACTTCTGCTGACAGCTAACTAGTACCAGCTGTGGAGGACCCAGAAAGGACAAGGGGGGGGGGGGGGGGGGGGGATTAAATAAAAATAAAAAAAATTTTAAAAATTATGTTTAGGGTGATGGATGCAGACTTGCATCTCGTTTTTCTGCTTCAGTTCCCTCAGCTCAACATCATGTAAAATATGTAAATAAACTTTTTGTGCATATTTCAACAACTTGATTTTCCCGATGTAAACAGTCGATGCCTTAGTACTGAGTTTTTATTATTGGTAGAACAACATCATTAATAGTATAACGATGAGCAGCTGCTCAGCATTAACAAAAAAAAAATCTAATCCTGACGGTGTCTGATAGCCCAAGAGGGGGCCACACAGGGCTTAACGTGGGTTAACACTGAATCCAAATATTTAGTCCATAAAACAAGATCAAAAGCTCAACTGTTGGATTATGTAATAGCTCACATCATCTGCTGGCAGCGGGGATGTAGGCCATCCAGTGGTTTAGAGTTAGCCCTAGGCCCCGTTTGGGCATGTAGTATGAACCGGCTAATGAACTAGAAAATAGTCTTGTTCATTCAGAAAGAGGTGGTGTGATGCTGAGAGGAGAAGGTTATCAGGAAAGGAGTGTTTGGAGTTATTTCAGTGAAAGGACATAAGGAAGGAACAGTTAAAGAGGGCAAGGAAGGAAGAAACAATTGACATTTGGAGAGACGGGAACAAGACAAAATAAGGTAAAGAAAAAGAAAAAGAAAAATAAAAAGGGTGAAATGAGGAAAGCAAAGAAAGAAAAATGGGGAGAAATCATTCCCGAATTATAACATATTAATTTTCAGACTGTTAATGCAGCTTGTCTTGTTGATTGACTGCTGCAGAAATGTGATGAAGATGAAATGTGGCGATGAACAGGTGTTAATTTAAAGCCAACTGAGGAACAGTTGTCCATAACACACACACTCACTCACTCTCACTCTCACTCTCTCTCTCTCTCTCTCTCTCTCTCTCTCACAGAGATGGATGTCAGCCCAGTGCACAGATATATATATATATATATTTGTTAATAAATATATTTACAGATAAGCAGAGCTGAAACGATTCTAGCCGATAAACAGAAAATGAACACGCAACCATTTCAATAATCCATTAAAGTCATTTTTCAAGCAAAAATGCTAAATATTACTGAGCGTGCTTCTTTTTCTTTGTCCAACAAGATAATAAACTGAATATCTTTGGGTTTTTAACTGTTGGTTGGACAAAATAAGCAACTTGAAAACGTCACCTCGGACTCAATTTTCACTATTTTCTGACGTGTTGAACTAAACAATAAATTGATGAATCCAGAAAATGATCGGCAACTTGGTTGCTGTAGAAGTTGTGGCTGGTATTTGCCAATCTGGTCAACATCCTGGTGATAAACATCAACATTGCTGACTCTACATGTTTGTTTATTTGAGTATTAATTTGGATCCCCATTAGCTTTTACCAGCACTAAAAACTCCCCCTCAATCTACAACAACTTTATATTAATATAATAGAATATTGATTATAATAACTTTATTTGTATAGCACCTTTAAAAACAGAGTTTACAAAGTGCTTTGACAGAAAAAGCAAAAGGCAATAATAACAATAACAGAAAGCTCAGTGAGACAGTTGATGAAAATAAAATAAAATAATTTAGTAAAATCAATCAATGATCACAAGATTATGTTCAGCAAAATCCCCCAAACTGGTAAAAGAAGATAATTTTCTCACTACAATGAAATCATGATTTTAAGTAATAATCACAACAACACCATGTTGGTTTGATGGTTAAGTCGTAGCTAGCTGGGCCATCCTCTCCCTCACCAGACTCGCTCTGAAACACCTCCATCTGATGAGTCCCTGCTTATCTGCATTCATCACACACCTTCTAGAAGATGAGTCAAGATATTTTAAAATAAAACACAAATCGCTCTTTCATTCGGCATGCATGCAGTAAACCAACTAAAACTAAAATCACGTAAAAGATCTACTTTGAGAAACTGAATAACCTAATTACGTATTCAAACAGTCACGTTTCAAAACCAGTAAAAGTTGGATTTCCACAAAAGCAGAGGTGTTTGTTGGAATATTTTGAAGCCGAACTGACTTCGAGGTTCAAGCTATTCAGCCGTATGATTTAATGATTTGATTAAATTGAATCCAGAGTGACTTGTATCTTTTATCTAAAACCTAACGGTCACATAACGGATCTTGGTGCTGTCATTCCATCACTCCACTCTCTCCATACCGCCCACTCCCTGCTAGCATTACACACGATTTTGTCATTTTTAACTTGACGTACACATCTGCTGTTTTAAATACTAACATGTACCTGGACATAGTTGCTTTCACAGTACTCCGCTACTCTTTCCAGATTGGTAAAACTGTCCAGTAAAGATCTCCGTCCCGCAGGAATTTCCTCCTCCAGCAGCATTTGTAGCTCCGCCATCTTTGCATGGTTTTACTACTAACGGCTGCGGCGCGCGCTGACTGGATGTATCCCGCTGCCTTCAAGGAATGTGGGCAATATCACAACTGTAATACGTCAAACGAGAAAAACGGGAAATTGGGAATTTTTTCCTGAGATGTCAATGGAACAGAAGCATGCCAAGCATCATCAATTTTGGCAGTAATTAAGAGGGCCCTGTTGGATTCCTTATGGAAACAGCAAATTATTGTCTATTAAGTATCTAATTATTACGCATCTTCAACTCCCATCGGTTTAATGGAGCGTTCATGTGAACTTCGTCAAAAGAAAACTGCAGGATGTAAATCAGATAGGACATTGACAAGCTTGACAATTTCCAGTGATGGAAGTAGTATTTAAATCTTTTTCATAAGTAAATGGTATGATAAATGGACTGCATTTAGGCCGATGCTGCCATGCAAGATGGAAATAATAGTAAGAATAGAAAGAAAAAGTAAGAACCTCAAAATTAGGTTCAGGTATTTGTCCCATTGCCTTATTGCAAACTTTTCTGGGTTTGTACAAATACAACAAGCCACCAGTCTTCATTAAAGATTTGTCAAAATGGGGATTTAATTATAGCTTAATTCTACAATTGAACTTCTCAACCTCATGTTGTTGACTGAGTGCTGCAGACAATGTGATAAAATTAAATATTGAAATAATTCTCCTCACTTGTTTCTTAGAGCAGCAGCGCCATCCTGTGGTCAAATGCTGTAAAAACAAAAACAACCACCAAACAACGAACAGGTGATACTGTACATATACTGTATTTCTTTATTTAAAAAATAACACTCAGCAAAACAAAGTGCTAGATAACATTTTGTACAAAAACATACATTAAAGGAGCAAGATAAGTGATTTCGAGTCGGCCAGACGGACAGTCGGGGAGAGGTTTGCAGACCTTCAGACAGGGATGTCCAGATTCTCGTCTCCTCTCGGGAATCCCTCCACTTCCATCGTCATCAAAAACTCTGCAGAAAAAGTAAAATCACTGTGTGTAGTATTTGATAACATGTTTTACTTTGGCGCAATCCAATGGTAGCATCAAGCATGAAACATACATGCACACAACTAAAAACTACACTACAACTGCTCTTTACACTATTACGTGTTGCTTCAGCCTTAATGAATATGACTTAATATGTGCATTCACAATAATCTGATGCTATGCTATGATGGCACAGATATTTACTTAGTAATTCTACAAAATAAATCAGAGTGGGATTTCCTCTTCTCATATTTCTATTTGTGTTTTAAAAACCTCTAGTGTTACATGTGTTCAAGCCATCATCCAACATTTAATTAGAGTCGATTCTATACATGTGTTTCACCAAAGATTTAACCTGACACTAATGTGCAGCACAATAGCTCCACCTACCTTCTGTGTAGTCGACGTCGGGCCGGGTGGAGACGACAGCCCAGGCCAGGCCCACCAACATCGCCACCACCAGGTTCACTACGATCCACGGCCGCAGGATCTGCTGCTCTGAACCTGGAGGCCTGGAGGAGGTGAGAGTAAATACAACAGAGAACATTACATTACAATACAGTAGAATACACAATATGATGCAGTACAAAGCAATACAACACAGTACAATACAGTGAAACACAATACAAGTTCTCACCACAGAGTCTCGTTGGCCGTAGGATAGAGGTTGATGCGATCGCTGGTCATTTGCTGACTGAGGGACAGGATCAGGGCTATGAAATACACTGAACACAAAGAGAAACGTTTTTTGTAACACATCATCATCATCTTCATCATCCATGTCATCTTCTTCGTCTTATTTCACTTACAGAAAGAAGCCAGAGCAGCAGGGTCCAGAGTGAGGAAGCCTCTCAGTGCCATGGAGGCTTTGGCCAGGTTCACCCTGCAGGTGAGACCAAACATAAAGCTGTTAGTCGTCACAAATTCAACCTAATTGTACTTTACTTGAGTATTTTCATTTGAATGCAACTTTATACTTCTATGCCACTTCAGCTCAGAGGCAAATATTGTAATTTGTTTGCACCACATTTGTCAAGTCTTTCATCATGTAGCTCCAGGTGTGTTGATTTTAAAGTATAAAGTTCCTTAATGTGTTGTGAAAATTCTCCTACTTCTTAAGCTAAATAAACTATTTAAATGTTTCGTTACAAAGCTGAAAAAATAACTGTTTTTCTCATAGGACAGTGGCGCTACAAACATATGATGATTTTATAGAATATGATGCATTTAGATAAAACTACCCAACAAGTATTTGTATAATAACAAACACACACACACACACACACACTCACACACTCAGAGATCCACAGACCTGTCGAATGCCGACACGGTGCTGATGGCCAGCAGCAGGTACAGCAGAGACTGAGCTGGGTAGGCCAGTAGGTGATACTGCTGCAGCAGGTTGGGCAGCATGGTCATCTGCTCACCCGCCAGCACATACACAACAATGATGTTCCACACCGCGTAGCCGGCCAGGAAACCGTGAGAGAACAGACCGATCACCCTGCAGAGGGAGAACACACACACACACACACACACACACACACACACACACACACACACACACAAACACAGGACATAATGTAAAAGAAGAGTTATCTAATAGTATATATGTTTGCGTTTGTGAGTGTTTGCAGACCTGAAGCCACTGTGGACCCTCATAGCGACGTCTCTGGTGGTCCAGATCTGTCTGGGGTCCATGTAGTCATCCATCATCTCTGAGTGTCGGAGCTGATCAACTCGCTCTGCTTGGAAACGCCCTGCACACACACGCACACACACACACACACACACACACACACACACACACACACACACACTTTTTATGAGATCATCCGAAGCATGAAGTGACTAATTTTAAATGGGGTCCAAGTAAAATAAATCAAATCCTTGCTGGTGAAAAAAAAATGAAGTCATGTATTATTTTATGAACCCTAGAACAAACTTATGGGTTTGTTCTTTTAAAATAGATATTTGCCTGAAGCCATTACAAAATACAAACTACATGAAGTGGGACAAAATACTACAAAAGGACAGAAGAGTATGGTACTTAAAATGTAACAATCAATGACTAATGGCTGTTAATTTATTCAGTACAGTTTATGTAAATTCTAAATTTCTCTTTTATAAAAAAGTGTATTATTATATTTTTGCACTGTTTTTGTAGTTGTTGGCTAAAAACAAATAAACAAATAAATAAATGTCCAAATGTGTGTGTGTGTGCGTCCGTGACGGACTGAGTGTGCACCTCTGTGTGCGTCTACGGCTAATCTCGCATTCTGCTGCAGAAACAGCAATATTTTGGGTTGCCACTTCAAGCTGATTGTCTGAGTTTGTCTCCTATTGCTTTTGAGTTTGAATGTTTGTTTTACGATGCCTTACAGGCCATTGTTATAGCAAATTGTTGGTTGTATTCACTGAATCACACAATACGGCAGTGGTCGTTGCAGACACACCTGGCGGAGATCTGCACTATGAGTGCACCTTTCTAGTTGTGTTTGTTGTCACTGCCAGCCTTGTCTTTCACACTCACTGTTTCTCTCCACAAAGACTTTGCCGACCGGCTGGCTGTGTCCGTGTGGGGCGGAGAACAGGGAATGCTGGGGGATCGGGGACTGAGCGTCTGTGATGATATCGTCGTCCTCGGCTCCCAGATCACTGCTGTAGTGCTCCGGCGCCTTCACCTTCCTGCCACGTGATTTAAGAAAGAGCGGTTTTGTCCAAAGCAACTGAACTTACATGTTTAGCCACGCTGTGTGAGACTGAAATACCTCAACAACCATTGGATCGATTGTGATGAAAAGTGGTTCAGAACTTCCCCTCAGAATGACTTGTAAAAGCTTTGGTGATCCTTTTGACTTTTCATCTACAGCCATCATCCCTTCAACATTCTCATTAACTCATTAAACTCACCTCTTCCTTTTCGTCTTTCTGGTTACGGCAACAGTCATCTCCTCTCCGTCCATGTCGGGCTCGGCCATGTTACCGTTTGGCACGTCGGCATTCTCTGCTTCCAGATCTGAACAAAACAGAACGTCACATGAAACATGAGGTTTATTTTCAATACACAGAAAATAAACAATGTTTATCTTGCTGAAAGTCAGAACTACATGTAATACCTTTCTGAATAAAATCTATTTTTTACTACATGTTCATAAGGAAGAACGGAAAAACCCTTCAGTTCATGAAACGCAGCGGATTCAGGGATTTGATTAATTAATTTCCTTCTCATTCATTCTTTTTGTCTCCACAATGTGTTTAAAGTAAACTTTAGTGTCAAAATCGGTTTTATCCACAAAATATAAGTGAAATAGTGAAATATCTCAACAACAACTGGATGAATTAAATGTGGTCAGACATTCATGTTTCTCTATGGATGATGCAATAACCTTGTTGATCCTAAGACTTTTCATTTAACGCCATCATTAGGTAAACATTTGAGTCAAAACACTTCAATACTAACAATTGTAAAATACTTTGGTTTCTGACAAAAATACCAAAAAAAACTAATGGCATTCCCATCAGATTCAGCTGTACTTTTTACTTCTAATTAACAAATGCTAGCATGCCAACAAGACAAACTTAGCTGGTGAACATGAAAAACATTCGCTGCTAAATATGAGAATGTTAGAACTATAGCTTATAATGCAAGTCTTGCTGGGGTTTTGACCCAGAAATCCCTATTCTGCTTCTACAAACATGCTGATACATGAAGTGTAACAACAAAGATGGAGGTACTGGTGTGTGAATAAAACTTAACCCCTCCCTCTACTGTGTTTACTTACACAAACACATGTTAATCGCAGGTTCGCATGAATAACAGTTGGTGCATTGTTTCTACCTATAGTAGGCGCCCTCTTCTTTTTCTTCTTCTTCTGTGGTGCTGGATCCTGCGGCTCTGGAGTCAAAGGGTCTCTGCTGACAGAGTGGCTCCTATTGGTCACTTCCTCCATCTCCACCTCCACATCAACTGTAGAGAAACAAAATATGGTGAACTAGAATAGAAGAGAAAAGAGTGTGGTGTGGAGCTGCAGGCGTCACCTCTCACCTTCTCCCTGCTCCTCTCCTTCGATGACTTCCTTCTTCGGCTTCTTCTTCTTGCTCTTGACGGTTGGCATGGTTTCTCTGTGACAGGATCAACAGTTCAGAATGTCCCTAATGAATAAAATCAATTACCTGTGTCTTTCAACATGTAACATCCCTTTTTTTGGGTCTATTTAGGTCAGTTAATTAACGTTTAACAGGGATCTTGAGGTGGCTGGATTGTGACGCCTGTTTGAGATAATTGGATTTAGCCGGAGCTTTGAGGACAGCTGGTGGAACGAGGCTTCAGGAAACACACCACAAAGGACATTTTAACAGTTACCTAAAGAGAGTTCTGCTTTGTAATCCAGTCTAAGACAGAACACTGCAGCATGTCAGTATTCTACATTTTAAAATGGTGATTCCTGTATGGCTGGCTGGTATAGACATAGCCAGTTTTAGGTATGTTGATTTGAGCCTGAATTTTGGTTTTCTTGTTCACATTCATCTGAAACATTACATTACTTTACATTTGGCCCTTTTGATACTTTTATCTAAAGCTTACTTAACTTCAAATTTGGGGTTCAGTGTCTCGCTCATGGGCACTGAGCTGGGGATCAAACCACCGATCATACGATTAACAGACCAAAGATACAGTCTCAAGTGTTTTTACTGTGATTTATTGTCCGGGTGATAATTAAATTCGTGGGTTTTCTATTTTCTAATGTGATAAAATCAGAGTTAAATTATCTTGAGAATGGGCCAAAAACACATTTCCAGCCTTGGCTAAACAATAAAGTTGAAATGTTTTCTATTGTCGTTTATTCCATTCCTCTTAGTGAACCCTTGGCTGGTAGTAAACGTTAAAGCAAAAGTTCCATATTTTGAGAAATACACTTCGCTGTCTTGACGAGAGTAGGATGAAAAGTTTAAGACCGCTCTCATGTCTGTCTTTTGAATATGAAGCTACAGCCAGCAGCCAGTTAGCTTAGCATTACGACTGGAAACAGGGGGAAGCTAACTGGCTGTTGAATGTACCATGTGTGGTCACTATCGTCTCAACTCTCAGCAAAAAAGCCAATAGGCTAATTTCTGAAAATATCACAAGTATTTCTTTCAGTGTCTTTTTTTTTCACTGCCTTGAAAAGTACTTTCATGGGGCAGGAAGACATGTCAGTCCATGTGGTTCTTGTTTACAATCTTTAGCTGGTTCATAAGCTGCTTACAAAGTACGTACTGTTGCATACAGAATGCATCTAATTCGGACATACTACCTCGTCATAACATGGCACCTTGAACTTTGACCCTCTTGCTCATATATCTGTTGCCTAAAGAAAAGCATGCTGGCCTGCATACTGCAAAATAGGACCGGATGCAGTGGGATATCCTGGTATTTGACATATTATGTATTGGGATATACTAAATATTTTTCTGGCATGCTAAATTGTATGGTAGTATGGGTATTGTAATGCACAAAGGGAGGAGGTATCTCTTGACAACGCTGCATCCTCGCTGTTCCACCATCATCAATTTTGATTTTGTGTTCATGTTTATTAAATGTTGTGTATCTCAGGCTCTGCATTAAATGTTCATATTTATTTAAAGTTGAGCACTAAAGTTTAGTGCCGGCAGCATCCAGCAGTAAGGAACAGTAAAGGGTTAAAAGAAACAATTATTATACATCTTTTCCCAGTTTTACACTCTTTTTCTCCTTAAAAACAGAATAACAATCATCACAATCAATGTTTATCTTAATGTTAATACCACCAAAATACATACAACATGAATGGTAAGATGCTGCACAATAAAAGACTTGGCTCTAGATAAATTAATATAATATTAATCAAATTAAGGATTGCTTGAATTTGCTAAATTATAACTTGACTTTGGCTCGATGCTTTTTTAAATAATGACCTTAATTAAGTCTTTCTAATTGTACATCTTGTAAAAAAGAGGAACAATCTCTATACCAAGCACATTTTCTATGAAGGTATTTACAGGTGTATTTCGGTGCTCACCTGTGCAGCTGACTTGGTCTGCGGCTCTGAAGAAACAGACTCAAATCAAGCTGAGGGAAAGTGTCTTAGGGTGAGCAAAATCTCACCCTCCTTCCCCTTTATTTCTCCCTCTCCTGCTCTTGTTAAATCCGAAAAGGTGGATTAAAGATGGCTGGTTCACTTTAACATCTTTTAAACTTGGATGGATGAATCCAAAGTGAGGGAGATAAAGTGAAGCAGAAAGGACAGCTAGCTTAAAGACTCGTCGTGGGGTTTTAGAGCGGCGGGTGGATCATGTGCTGAGCCGTGACAGGCTCTGGCAGCTTTGTGGTTGGCTGATCAGCTGTGATGTCACCTGCTGGTAGTGCTCCAAAGTAGCCATGGATGCTAATAATCCCTCACTCGGCTCTCCTGCCAATCTTGTCTTCAATAGGTCCAATCACTCTTTACTCACAAATGGGCAGAATTAATAAACAGGTTTCTTTCTTTTCATTGATAATGTTTTAGTTGTTTCCCTGCAAATGAATGCCAAGACTGCATAAGGAAAGAACCACGAAGATTTTAGATACTCATATTTGTCGAAAGGTTTTTGGTCATGGCAACTATTTGGTCATTATTTCCTCCAATAGGATGAGACATTCAAGGGTTAAAGTCTTTTAAAGTTTGTTCGATTTAAAGTTTATGGTCCACAGTACTTGGAGGAACTCTGTCCAAGTTCAGTATTTAATGCTGTGGTCCTGGGATCTGCTCTCTACCTACAAAGTCGCCCAAAATGAATTCAGCTCGGGCTGAGACCAAAGAAACTCTCTTGATTTGACTGACAGATCTGTAAAACCGAGTTTCTGCATAAAGAATCACACAAAAGCACCACTTTGAATCTTGTGTTTACCAGAGAGATGCTCATACGTCATTCAGTATGAAAAACCATAAAAAATGACTATAGAAATCTTAGTCGACTAAAACCAAAACGACACTTAATGGGATGTTAATCATGCCCTTTATACAAGGCATACAATATGTACATTTACTGTAGTGGCTTTGTCTCTTCAGATGACATCCTGACCTGAAGAGTGTATTAAGTAGAAGACACGTTAGCTCTGATGTTTAACAATGTTTATTTATCATAGAAACATTGGAATCTCCTGCATGAATTGCTGATAATGAAGGTTTATTCCGTGACTAGCAGTTCAGTTAAAGCCACTTTGATACGGTGGATGACTCTAAATACTTTGACACCGATGAGTCTCAGCCGTTGGAGCTGTGAAAGAAGTGAGCTATAACTCTGTCTGAGCAGGTCTGCTGGTTCTGAGGTTAGCAGGGCAAAGTTAAAACCTTCACACCACAGAAACCAGGTCAACACGTCCAATCCTATTACACACACACACACACACACACACACACACACACACACACACACACACACACACACACACACAAAATATACAATTCCTTTAAAGTGATTAACACATGCATGCATCAAATAAAAATTTCCCAGTATATTCTGGGCAACAAGTACTGCCATTTTGGGTACTTAAAGCATATTTTGACAATTAATTCTAAACTGTGGTATTACTGCTTTTACTTTAGTACAATATATGAGTTCTTATGCAGGCACTTTCTCTTTATATTTTTTGGTTGTTTTTATTTCACGTTATAAAGATCATGTAGACACAATATTCCCTGTCTTATCCGCTCACTGTGTCATGTTACCTGTTGTGTTACACTGACCACCACTTGCTGCTGTTTGTATAGATGGCAGTTAAAGCTGAATGATGCAGTGAGAAGACGCTTATCCTCCTGTTAAATCGGCTAAACTACAGCTGTCCTGCAGAGGATTAACCTGACAACAGACAGAGAGAGAGAGGGAGGGCGGGGGACAACGACGACAAACGGTGGATCAGTTAATGGGAGCTTTATAGTGAGTTTCAGCTCATTATTTATCCGTCCGACCCACAACTTTACTGTTCTGGTTCACTCTCACCGCTCTCATGGCGTCGTTTGCAGGGAAGAAGCAGTAAAAACCTGCTGTACACTTTACCTGCTCAGCATCAAAGGGCAGACAGGCACAGTTAAGAGACTAGCTTGTGAACAGATATTTCCCTCAGGAGCTAGTGGAGACCAAAAACAGAGCTAAAAGAGAGTGAATATTTGACTGACATTCCTCAGGTGGACACAAACACCATTCAAAATGAATGGTCATGTTGCTCCGTGAGTGCTGGATGTGCAAATAAAAATCAGTTTGCTTACAAGTTCAAAACAGTAAAGATTAAAGAAAAGAAAAACCTATAAATTAACCTATTAATGATCTCACAACCCCCTCATGTAACATCTCACTAGTCTCCCCTGGACAGAAAGAAGGAAATCCTTTGTAAAACATCAGAGTTAGGTTTACAGGTGAGGTGCCACAGCAGTTATTGAGGCTTGTCTACTTCCACCTACAACACAAACCCATCTATAAAGAGAAAATAATTAAAATACATTTGATAATTTAAGATACTGACGTAAATAGTATCAAAACCAATACAAATTTACTTTAAAGTGCAGCTTTTAACAAAAGACATGAGGTAACGTGAGACGACAGTCGTCCTTTATTCTTATTATTCAGTATTATTCAAGCTAGCTAGTAGGTACTTACAGAGTCTGCTATTGTAGAATGTAGAGGTCGTTATTCAGTTAGCGAGTGCTCTGAAAAACATGCTTCACATCGTAATTCCTCCCTGAGAAATATTTGCATAACTAAAATTATAAATACTATCCGAGAAGTTTGGTGGAAATTCCAAAGACGAAAAAAAAAAATATGAGTTCTCTTCACGCAGCCTCCTCTCCATCATGTCATCACATCCTTCTTCTTCTCATCTGTCTCCATATCCAGGTCTTTTCTCTTCTCCCAATTCGTCTTTCACTTCCTCCTCCCCCAGTTCTTTATATTTCACTCAGTGTTGTCCCCTTTTATCCAACACATCTCCACTTTATTTTATTTTCTCATTCTCACTTGTAGTTTTTCTATCCCATAATCTTCCAACATCTCCCCTTTCCTCTTTTACTCCTCTGTCCGGCTCCAGCTGACAGGTATCCACTGTGGTTCGTTCTGTGCCTCCTGGATGATGGAGCAGAGCTGCATGCAGGCGTGCTGCAGGTCGTCGTTCACCAGCATGCTGTCGAAAAACTGTTTGTACTTGGCCTCGATCAGCCGGGACAACTCCTCCACCTCCGCAAAGTCCTCCTCCTGCAGAAGCAGAAACATGAGGGCTACATTTTTTTTTGCGTTTTCACTTCTTTCTTTCTGCACTTGGTGCTGTCACATGAAATATTTGTGTTGTGGTGCTTTAATTTCGGCGGAGCTCTTACTGTGAACGCTCTGTTGATGGAGCAGTTGGTGATGATTCTGGCGTCTCTCCGTGTTTGTCTCAGTCTGTCTGGACTGGGAGCTCTGATGAAGATCACGTAGGGCTTCAGTTTCCTCGTCCTCAGAGGCTGGACGCTCTGACGACAAAACCAACATATCTGGGATTACCAGTGTGTTAATCCACCGCTAACAATAGTCCCCAACAAATGCACTATTTCCTCCCGTTTGTTTGATAAAAACTACAGTGACCAGCTGTTTTCGGAAATTATTGAGACTTTTAAACATGGAGTTATACATTTGTGTTTTAACGATTGACGTCTTCAACATGAACCGATGGACTTGGAGCTGAGAGCGACAGACAGGAAGTCCGACAGTACTGAGAGACAGACTACTACATTGTTGGCTTCTTTTCATGGGATTTGTTGACAGTAAGGAAATATAGAATAACCTAAAAAAAACTTAATTTCAACTTTTTCAAATGCATGCATACATGTAATCTGAACTCTGCATTTAACTGATCATAAGAATTAGGAGCTTGGAGCAACTATGGGTTCAGTGTCTCACTCAAGGACACTTCGACATGCAGACAGGAGGAGCCAGGGATCAAACTGACAATCTTCAAATTACCGAACCACCCAATCTGACCCTCTGAGCCAGCTAACTAGTGAGCCTTCATTTTGTCGACTTATAACAAACACTTTGAAGGTGCAATGTGTAAAATATAACCAGAATTTTAGTTTTAAAACATTCAAAAAGGGAACATTATCAACAGAATGTGAAGAGGTTGACGTTTAGTCAACGTCTATGTATTGTGTTGCAGAGGTATCTACTGAAATAAGCATGCTAACCGACGAACCCTGTCCTGTCGTGTAACACCACTTGCTCCGCGAGAGGCAATAATGAGTCACTGTAGCGTCCAGTCTGCCCGCAGTCAAGAGAATGTGGAAGTAGAGCTTCCCCGAGGGCTTCAAAACAATACGTCCATAATATGTTTGTGTCTTGATAGTTTGGTTACTGGAATAAATCCAAAGTGGCAGAAACGAAAAAATGACTCGCACCCTTGCCACGTTGCCCCACCGCTGGGAGGCTGCTTGGCCGGGACTAGAGCGTGGGGCAGCTCCTGGAGATGTACCCCCAGTAGCAGACGAGACGAAGGTGCACATTGTTTTCCCGTTTCTGACACCTTGGATTTAGCCAAATAATCAAACTATCAATGCGTAAACTAATTAAGTGGATCCACGCTATCAACGACGGGCTTCTTAATGAAACTCACATGCGGTTCAACATCGAGGATGCACATCCGTCCTCGTTTAAGCACCTCATCAATAGCATCAGTGCTGGTTCCATACAGGTGGCCCTTATACTCCCCATACTCCACAAACCTGAACACATGTCAACAAACACATGGCAGAGGTACAAATACAGATCAGATAACAGTACAGTCAGAAAAGCTAGAAATGAGTAATAATGAAAAGTAAATCAAATTCAGTTGACCACGTAGCAAACATACATTTAACCTGAAGTAAAGTAATCTCAGTATATCCTAATAATATTCAAAAAGACTGTGCATCCAAATCACATGTGTACAGTCAAATACAGAAATCATGTCAAAAGAAAAGAAAAGTTAGGAGAAGCCCACCTGTTGTTACAAACCATGTACTCAAACAGCTCTTTGGTGGCAAAGTGGTACTCTCTTCCTGTCTGCTCCCCTGCTCTGATTGGACGAGTGGTGTCTGGAGGAACAGGGTGACAGCCAATCAAAACCAGTGCATTAATATTTACTTTTCTTCATGTAGAAATCAAGATTATGAACCATTAAACCCTTATCGAACCTCACAAGAGCCATTGACCTCATGACCCTTCTTCTGGTTTGTTCCATTTCCTGTTCTGTCTCTGTGCTTTTTGGTGCTTTTTGGTGCTATTACTAAATTAAAGTCAGAAGTCTTTGTCCTGTTGTACAATTTTCACAGTTGTGAGTTGTGAGTTCAACTAACAGATGAGACTCTGTGACTGTGTTTTGGATGAGGAAATATTGTATCAACACACATTTCGAATGTCCACTCTTCTGTTATGTCATATTGTTACAAGAACATAATAAATTCATTCACTTAGCTGCTAACATGACTGAAGACTTAGTCTTGTTGTTATGTATGTATGTATGTGTAAACTAAATCATAATTTTTGTCCTAGAAAATCAAAACATGTGTCTTTGATTTTAAAGTAACTTTTATCTTCTTTTCTTTAATTCCATGATCTTTTACATATCACATAATATTCCATGTGAACATTGTGAATGATGCACAGTATGAAAACACATTATTATTGCTTTTATGTCTTTTCTATCATTGTAGGTTCCCTCCTGTCACCATGTCACACACAAAGTAAAACAGTAAACTTATAATTGTGGAGACACTTTATATGAATATGTTGGATTTGTGGAGGGCACATACGAGGTACGGGTCCCTGGAAGGTCGAAGGGTTCAGTTTGATGAGTCTTTTCCTCAGTTCATTCACTCCAACTCTTGTAGCACCTGGACATGTGGATATATATTGTATATACAGTTAATATTGTAGATAAATTGAAAATTAAAGAGGAACATACTGTGAGAGAAAACAATCGGAGCTTTCAACAAAACAAAATGATAATTTAAAGATTCCTGTCTCACCGATAAGGACGATGAGGCGGTGGTTCTCCTGTGGAGGGCGCTGGTACAACACCACCTCCTCATAGGGGGTGGACAGGGCACTGCTGTTGGGTGAGCAGGAGGTGCAGGACTGTCGTCTCCTCCTGAAGGACGTCCTCCTCCAGAGACGGAAACTCTGCCGGAAACCAGCTGGTGAACACAATTAATTCATTCACTTATTGTATTTGTGACACAGTGACAGTATTTATTATGTATTAAACTGCTGACAAACTCTCCCAGGGATTAAGTGGAGAAATTAATATACATTGGTACAACTTTATACATCTATACTGTATATATACAGAATCATATATACAGAATACAGAATATACAGAATATATATAAATATATAGTTTTGCTACGAGTGAATTATAGGTTGTACGAAATGAATAAATTAAGTTATCAGCAAACAGTTTTGCTTATTTGTGTATAAACTGACAAACAAACAAAACAAATTAACTAACTGCGTCTTACCCAGGTAGATTCCATCAGTAATATCAGAGTCAGCCTTATCTGAAGGAAGAAAACATAAAAAGTCTTCACTCACTTCAACTGTTAACACAGACAACCATTGTACTGCAACGCCTAAATAAACACCTACCAAAGTGTATTTCTTCCAGCTCTGTGGAGATGAGGAAAACAGAAGATGATGATTCATTTCAGTCTATATGAAACGTCAAGTATCATATATTCATCATTGTGTCGGACATGTTTTACCTGTTACGGTGCGTTTGTCATCAGAATGTATTTGATTATTCTCTGGAACATATTAAAAAAAAGGTACTTTTTAAAGTCAAAGCTTGTTTCCACAAAGTCACAGTAACTCTAACACTGTGTGACAGAAGGTTTGGTGTAATGACCAGCAACAATATGAAGAGTTAACGTTCCTGATGATGTTTTAAACTGTCAGACACAAGGCGTCTCAATAAAAAAGGAACCGTCACTGTTTCTTAGTTGAGGTTAAATCAGAAAAAACTTGGAAACTTCCCCTTGAGCTGCTTATTAATTGTTGCCACACATGAATGTGTCACCTCACCTGACGCAGTACTGCAGTTTTAGTGTAAGAACAACTTTGGTTGTGGGTACAGTGTGTATGTGTACTGCTTGTCTTGTAAATTTGAGTTTAATAGCTCGCATTGTATCGTATGTGGTGCTGAAACAAAAACTTAAAGGGAATATACGCATATATGTATCATATGAAACAGCAGCTAAAATACATATATTATTACACGAATAAAAACGACTTCACATTATTTTGGCATTTAATTAACTTGTCAGCCAAAGCGATGAAACTATATTATAGCATAGACAAATTCAACCACAACTACCATAATCTATAACAAACTACATGTCACATCATTGCATGGCATGAACAGAAATTGCGGTGTGTGTGTGAGGTGTGATAATGATCAACCCCCCAACATATTAACGAATTAAGTAAGTACAGCTTGGACCAAGTACGGATCAATTTATGTCTGTGTAAAAATAAATAAATAATGAATTTCCCCTCCACGGATAAATAAATATAAACCAAGCTTTAACACTTGCACACAGTCATAGATAGATACAGCTACTTGCCTCACCATTCATACCACACATTACACACATCATCAATACCATAACAAACCTACTGACGTCACACGAACAGACAAACTATTGGATTTAGATGTTTAAATTTAAAAAAGAACAACTGACACAATGAGTGAACAATAAGCTGTCTCACCCACCGTTACCATCCAGAGTCACTGAGGACAGACAGAAGAGAAACGTTGTCAAAAGTGTTTCTTGTTGTTTTTAAGTCACATTCACAACATGTTCAGAGCCTGTATGGAGATTAACACCAGTCTGTACTCATGTTCATGCATTGTGATCTTGATTTTATTATGTGTGAGTGATTTTATAGTCTGTATGTGCTTTTAATGCTAGTGCTTCTGTGTTGTATGTTTTAACTCGTGTTTAACAATGCAGCACAATGTATTTTATAGTGCATGCATCTATTAATGTTAATATTGCTTTGCATGTCTTGTATTTTGTACTTTTGTACCTGATGTTCATACCAACTATCTCTTTATAAACTATTTCAATAACTTTTAAATCTTGTTATTGTATAATCTTAATGAAATTTTGTTATTAAATATTCTATATAGCAGGACAACTTTATAACGCCTGTCCAGGGATCACAGACGAACGTCGCTACAGCTTTTAAAGTTAAATAAACCATACCTAACCCAGTTACTACTGCTACACATTGCTGTAGATGCAATCAATATACATAAATGTTAAGAGATAATAATGATGAGTGCTTACAGGGTCGGATGCAGGTATGAACCTGTAATGGCTGACACCACCACTGTTCCCTCTGTTTACTGCAGAGAGAGATGATACATTTCTTCCTTTTGTACTTCGTATATATACTTAGTTATTTTATATTGTTTTATTCTATTTAAATTTTGAACATTGAAATATCGGTTCACATATTTTCTGGGTGTGTTGTATGGAGGGAGTTCTAACTGCATTTCATTTCATGTTAATGACATCAAAGATGAACCTTGGAAAGCATATTTCAGAAATCTTACAGTTTGTATAGTATGTGGTATTTCTTTAAAATCTGTTAAAAGATGCTAAAACATTAGTATGTCCCTTTAAGATTTGTTGATGAAACACATGTAAGGTTCACATTCAGGGTGTGTGAGGTGTCACCTCTTCAGCATGCTGGCAGAGGGAATCAGACCAGCGCAGGATGCAGAGCAGGGCAGCTTCCTGGCCTGCCACCAGCGCCCGTCCGACTGGTCGACCACCTCCAGGAGGTCTCCTCGGCTGAACGCCATCCCTGCATCAGGACAGGGGATGGAGGAGTCCTGCAAGGGGGAGTAGTCCACCAATGCCCTCATATACACCTGACGGACACAGAGAGAGGGATTTAAAGGAAATCTCCCACATTTAAACATCCTCTCACAGGTCTTGTCATAATGTAACATAGAATCACATATCAGTCACAGGAGATACTGCACAACAAGTACTTTTACTGTATGACGCTGACAATACTTTTACTGCTGATACTTTAACTGCATTAAGGGTTTGGGTAATACTTATTTACTCTTACTCAAGTAGTCAAAATAAGTATTTTTACATGAATCTATTTGTACTTTTAGTAAAGGTGAGTATTTCTTCCACCACTGGCAGAGAGACAGAATCAACCATCTGAGGTGTTTGCTGGATGTTTCTTACCGACTTCTGTCTGCTGCTGCTCTGAGATTTTTCAGGAATGACTTTGAACAGGATTGTTCCCTGGGAATTGATCTGCAAATACAACAAATACTAGTAAATAACTGATCAATTGTTTTAATAATCAGATTATGATCACAACTATAAGCACCTGCAGTCACAAAACCACAGAGGAGCTATTCCTTATTCGATTTTCTAATTCATTTATTTGTTCAATATTGTGCACAGATAGTTAACACTAGAAATTAAAATGAAAAATAACTTTACGTATGTCATTTCCTCCCTTTATTTTGTTATATTTAAGTATTTATTTTCCCCTCAGGTGTCCTACCAGTATCTGGATGACCTGTTCTGGCTCCAGACCCCCCACAGGGTTTCCGTTGACCTCCAATAAAAGATCACCAGGATGGAGAAGTCCTGGGACACATACAAATTAAACCATGATATTGCACATTCTCACCATGTTTAATACATTATTAACTCTCTGGTATTGTACGTTATATTTAATACATATTTATCTCACTGCTGCGGTCGGCCAGTCCTCCATGAATCACCCTGGCGATGTAGATCTCTCCCGTCTCCTCGTCCCTCCTTATCGTCGCCCCCTGACATAAAGACAGTTATTCCAAATTTAACAACCTTCAATGGCTACAGAAGCAGTAACTATCAGCGCTGTATAAATAGAGAGGAGTATAATTGTGGAAAGATACAAATGGAAGATGGGATGAAAGCAACTGATGACTGAACCTCTTAAAGCATGAGCTGAGGCAAGGAAATGCATTGGTTATATACAGTCTTTGGTTTATGCCAATTCAATTTATCAAATAATTTCACAGTGTAGTATTAGTGATTTTACTTAAATAAAGGATCTGAAAACTTCTTCCACCACTGGCAAAGTGAAAGAAGTTGACTAAAGATATACTAGAATCTAAGCATGAGGCTGTAAGATAAGAAAGACTAAGACGAACATATGGTCTGACAAGAGCAACTGCAATGAATACCATGAGGCGATGACGGTGGTCACAGTTTTAAGTATAGCTGGATGGAAGAGGAGATGTCATTTTTTTGTACCTTCAAATTTTTGCTTTTCCCCCTTTCAGTGATAAATCCAGAGATGGAACAACTGTCTCTCAAAAGTGTTCATTGTTCGAGTCAGTCTGCTTCTGGTATATGGTTTAACTTTGTTCCTTACACTAATATTTGGGATCCAAATTCTGATGTAGATTTACATTAAAAAGAAGAAGTAGAGATATCTTAATCCGTTTCAGAGTCTATTTTCAACACAACAGCAGACAAGGAGAGGAGACGGTTCATTTTTTGGGGCCTACTTATTCTTTTTCTTCTTCTTGGTTGTCAAGCACCCTGTGCTGTGACAGTCTTGTTGGTCCTCCAGAGGAGCTCTAGAGACTGCTCCATTATTGAGCCTCACTTGTCCGTTACTACCACGACCACCTGCCCTTTGGGTGGCACCAAAGGTCACCACCGTCCTCTTGGAGCCTCCGTTCATTCCTTTTGGACTCCTCGATGTTGCGAAGCCGTCTGCACAAGAACTGACAGACGTGGATGAAGACGAGGAAGAGCAAGAAGAGGAGGACGAGAGGTGTCGTGGGTAAGGTGTGGGAGGTTTGCGGACCTCTTTTGGAGACATTGAGGAGACCCTTGGAGGAGGTGGGGGAGGAGTGCGCTGTTTGGGCCTGCATGGAGGTAACACCTCTGTGTGTTTGCTGGCCACAATGAGCCCTTGGAGTTTGTCGACCACCTCAGCCAGCAGATTGAGCGCCTGGGCATTCTCTTCCACACTGTCAGTGATCATCTCTGTCGCCGCCACCATCTTCTGGCCAAGATGACGAACGTCTTGAGTGCCATGCTCAATGCTAGTGGCCACCGTCTGGACGGTGGACCTGAGTTCCTCAATGCTGCACTGTTTGGTGAGCTCACATTGTTGACTAAGTTTTGGTTGCTCCTGCTCGTTTTGTGTCTGTTGTGGTTGCTTCTGGCGTCCATTGTGACGAGAAGCAGTAGAGTATTGGGTCATTGAGGGACAACTTAGAGGGTCTTCTCGGAGTTTGCTATGAGATTCAGTTTGACACACATGTTGCCTGCCAGGGGTCGGGAGAGTGCTAACCCCCTGCTGCCGAGTGGAGCGATGAGGTGCAGGACTAGAAGGTGCTGTGTGGGCTCTAAGTGGGTTCATCCCAGTAGAAGAGGGTCTCCTGCCGGGTGTAGGGATGTTCCTCGAGTGTCCCCCTGTAGTCCCCTTTTTGTAAAAGATGGGGGAGTTGGGAAAGCTCAGACTGTAAACTGGGACTGGAGGAGGAGGGTAGGCGTAGTCGTCACTGCTCCCTCCGTTAGAGGCACCTTCTCCCTCGTTCTGATTGGGTTTTTCTAAAAATGGACCTCCATGTTGGGTGGCGGATGAAGACAAGAAAGAAAGCGACGACAGAAATGTAAAATATACATTATTGAAAGAGAACAGTAGTGCAGGAACAAGTAAAAAATGGTAAGATGAAAGAGACGGATGATGACTTGATGATGATTGATGAACAGCGAGGATCATGAGCATGTTTGTGAGGTACACAATGAATGAACTTATAGATGAACTGGTTGCTGCCTTTCAACACATTTTCTGGATGAACCAAAGATGGTCTTTCCGACAAAGGAATGTGCAAATGCCGAGATGGATGAATAAATGAAGGGATGAACCGATTGATGCATGGTATTAGTGAAAATATTGGGCCCATATTTATCAAGCATCATCAGAGGAAATTCGTCCTTTTTCTAGGTGATATTTAGGAGAGCTCCACAGGCGTCCTAACCTGTTGGAGCAGCCAGGAGAGCTTATGAGCTTAATAAAAGATACTGTTTCAGCAAAGATTGAACAATGTTTTGATGAGCCTTGTGCAGGATGCAAAAGAGAGCGTGATCTCCGCAAAAACTGAGCTCCTCACAACCACACAGAGATACAGTCACAATACTACAACACGTCATCATAAGTTGTACTTAGAGTTTTGCTCTGAGTTTTTAGTCCTCTGTTAACTCTCAGCGTGATTCCTGATAAATACGCCCCCTGCTGGATGAATTGTTTATTCCCTGTTCCTAATATGGTGATCGGTCGTCTTGAGTGAATGAAAAAATGGACGGATGATTGATGATTGCATTGATTGACAGTCGTCCTCCTCTTACCAGGGCAGGGGGCCGGGCTAAAGACAGAAGGATCTGATTGGTTGAGCCCTTTCTTCCAAAGCGCTGCGGTTTGTGGACGCAAACAGCAGCTTCCCGTTGACTCGTAGCGGGGGAGAAAAGGACGTGACTGTCCTCCCCTGGGGAGGGGCAAAGGCCTGGCTTCACTTTCAGTTGCTCTGAGCTCCTCCCCCGACCAGGCCCTCCTTGCAGGGACGAGACGGTCCAACGTGAGGCGACGGAGGCTGCTCCAACGACTACGAATCACTCGTACTCCATCTCTTACACTTCCTCTGCGCTCTTCTCCGTTCTTGGTGAACAAAAGATAATGAAAGATCTCTTCTGATAGCTTGAAATTAAACTATTTATCTGTGAGGCATTTACAGATCAATACCTCTATCAACTCTCAGCCAAGACGTTATGTTTAGTAGGGGTGTCAGAATTTTGATTTAAAATTTTAAATCGATTGAAATTATTTTTGCAGTTTGTTCCCAATTGACTGGGGAAATAAGTTATTGTTATTACATTCACATACATTGTTTAAATATTACCATATGGCCTTAGTGTGGTACACTCCCCCAAAATATGGCAGTTATATCTCACTTAATAGCATGTAGAATACATTTATAAAGAAGACTATGAAAATCAAAAAAAACAGTCGTCATTGCATAAAACCAATGATCTGCTGATCTTTACGAATCAAGATTTGATCGTCTAACAATGGCAGAGAGCTGAACAAGAATCGTGACACAACAATTTACAATCCAATAATATACTACATTATTCTGAAATGAGTTCTGAAATGAGTTCTGCATAATGTTCTGCATAATGGGTACTTTTACTGATTGTACTTTATGTATGTTCTTATCATAATACTTTTGCACTTTTACAAAAGTAAGAGTTTCAATGCAGGACTTGTAATTTCTACACTTTTAGTTAAGTAAAAGATCTGAATACTTCTGAAATTTTAAAATCAATGTGGTGCAGTAAAAGTACATTATTTCCCTCTGAGATTTAATGTAGTAGAAGTATAAAGGAGCAGAAAATCAAGTACAGTATAAGTACCTCAAAGTTCTTAAGTAAACAAACTTATTAATCTTCCGAAGAAAAACCTAAGAAACTGGTTTGACTGATTAATATTAGTTCACCAAATTATTAATGCTTCACTGACAACCAGATTTATTTATTTAAGGAGGAATAAATAAGATATTTAGATTTCAGGTTTGACCTGTTTCAGCATTTTATAACTGTGTCTCACCAGCGGCTGGTTGTTCTTCACCAAACAAACGATCCTCATGGCCTCCTCGCCCTCGGGCATCTCATCAGGCAGAGGCGGTAAAACAGGTCCATAGTCTGACTGGGCCACACTGTCGTGAGATGATAGGAGGGCCTGAGAGACAGATAACGAGTGTCATAACAGAGCACCGAGCACAAGTTCTGCAAGAGCTTGTACATGCGAGACACACACCTGGATGTGTGGTGAGCTGAGGAGGTTGTAGAGCTCTCTGGCTTCAGCTGAGGGACGGTGGACATTCTGTAGTGTAGCCATGATCTGACGGACAGGCAAAGAGACAGATAGATAGTCAGACAGGAATACAGATGATAACACTCCAGAAGATCAGATGTAATCTGTAAGGCCTCTATTTTCTTAAAATGAATAAGATTAAGAAGATGAGCTCAAACGTTGGTGATGGTGTTGGGTATGAACAAGGACATGTTCCTACTGATGGCAGTGCTGTTTTTTGGGGCTTTTCTTTTCTTGTTTTGGTAAAGCCCTCAATAACCTGGTTAAGAAAAGTACTTTATAAATTAAGTTCATGATTATGACTATCATTATTATTGTTATTGTTATAATTATTATACATGCATAATTTCTGAAGACATATTTTCTGCATTGCCCTTCTTTCTGTTGAACAGAAACATGAACATGCTTATTCTAGTGTGTACAAGATACATACTGACACTTATCGAGGTGTGTGTGTGTGTGTGTGTGTGTGTGCGCATCAACCTCATGTGAGAGTCCTGAGGCATAAGGCAGAAGGGGTGTGGGTGTGGACATCTCGAACTGCAACAGGCACTCATAAATCTAGAGTGACAGAACAGGAAATGAGGTCATTGTTTGACATGTCCATGGTGTGTCTGCTTTAGTGCACGGTTCGTTGAGTCATGTCGTACCTCCAGTAGAGCGTGCAGCCACGGTGCACTCAGCAGTTCATGCAGAACTTCAGCACCAAAAATGTTTCTGCTGACCGCGTGACTGACGTCCTCCACCACACTGGACAGCATCTCACTGACACCTGCACAAACACACACACACACTGTTATGGTCAACGCAATAAGAAATTAAGAAATGAATGAAGACTTGCCGTCTGACTGCAAACGAAACAATTTGACTTTTTAGAGGTAAATTGTTCTCACAGGACAGCGACGCTACAGATTGCTGTAGATTAAGCTACCCAGCAGTATACAAAGGAGTCAAAATTAGCACAACTCTCAGGAATCTTTGACAGCAGTTAAAATGCTACACATACACATTAATCCCAAATGGTAAAATACTTACAAGGAACATTTATTTGAAGCAGAGTATTTTCACAGTGTGGTAATACTGACACTTAAGTAAAGGATCTGAATACTTCTTCCACCACTGGTTATGTCATGCATCATTTCAGATGAACAGCATGACACTACTCAAGTAAGGGGAGCAATTCATGTATTATAAATGTATGAATATCAAACATGATAATCTCTGCCACCAAAAAGTGAAAGAACAAAGGCACTGAAGCCTCGCCATGTTGAATAAGATGCATTACACCAGTCAACAACAGACAAAATTGTATTAGAACATTCTGTAATATCACGGCAGATGCTTGGGGATGAAAGTTTCTCCTAAAGGGTGAAAAACAGACATGTTTGGGCCAGACCGGATTAACTGACACTGAGGAGCCCTGACCCCGCAGAGAGACACTAATACCATCTGAATTAGATTTCACATTAGAATTAAATTGAAGCTAAACCCACCCCTGGATTTAGACTCAAGTTCAGGATTAAGACTGAATTCTAGTCCGACAATGAACAATGAATGGAATCAATGAAGGTCAGATATACAGAGTGTGTGTGTTCGTTTCTCACCGTCCTCCATTGCTGGTCTCATGGTGATTGTCCAGACTCACCGCAAAGGAAAGAAGGTTTTTACTGGAAAAAAGAAGGGGAAAATAAACTTTTAATGTCAACCATATTCTGATCTAATGCAACAGGGTCATTACCTAAAACATTGAACAATTGATATAATTCAAAAATGTTATTAGTTACTATTTTTTTTTAATAACTGAAAAATATGTTCATGTAAATATCTGTGACGGTGTTACAAATTAAGAACTTACTTTGCATGTACATCTACCATCATCAGGATTTTAAGGTGCTCAATACAGAATTCTGAGCATTTCGATTTGGCTCTCAACGGCTAGCAATGCTATTCGCGCAGCTAACGGCGCTAACAGTGCAAACTACAGCAACAGTGCTGACAGAGTGTTAACATGAGGAGGAGACGGAGGTAGGGTGAACGGTGTCAGCTGTAACTGCTGTATGAACGCACTCAGCGCAGTGCAAAGTGTTGGCCATTAGCTCGCCAACAGGGCAGGCTCACATGCACTAGCATGCACTAAAAGAACCGTGTACGCTTGTTAAACAAAGCACAAGGAAGCATTTGAGTTAACAGTTCAGCACCTCTGAAATAATCATTTTGATAAAAACTAGGTGCGTTCACATCTGCGGTAAGTAGGTCTAAGTTTAAAGCAGAAAGTCTTTCTGACATACAGTATATACATCACAAATACTTTTGTTTTGTCTTTCTGAATTAATTATTATTATTTATATTTTTTGCGTCACGAACTGGTTTGTTATTCTATTAAATGTTTTTAGATTGTTCTGAGCTATATAAAGAGTCAGTCTGGAAAAAAAAAATGAAGAGGAGAGGGTTAGAGACCAATCAATGTCAATTATAGGGAGACACATGTTCACGTTGGTGAAGACGTCATGTATAGTCTTTTAGTGGGCATGCATGATTGCCTTATGAAATTAAAAATGTACACAATGTAGCAAAAAGACCAATCTTTGTTCTGGCTATCAGGTATGAAAAAGCCCTAATGTCAGTGCTTATTTCCACTTTCAGCACTTAAAGAGCAAGTCTGAAATTCTCTCTTTTATCTCAGTTTTTGGTCTCTACCAACTCCTGAGTGAAATATTTGTCTAATGGGCTAAATTGATGTTACGTCTCCTGTTTAGCTTCTTAATTGGCTCAGCTTCCGTTTCCACGTACGCTGCAAAAGCTTTCATTAACTAGATCCCAAAGTCATCAAATGTCAACTGAGCAAATCACGCAGCCTCACCGAACTTTTTGTGTTATGTAAAGACCTGGACCGTTCCCACTGGCTTTAAATACTATAAACTTAAACTCCTGCAATACAGGAGTGAATTTTACAATGAAGTTGTCTTAATTTAGTTAAATCAGCCCTGTGAAATTAAACTCAGCTACAGTCAGAATCCCAACACCACAGCTACTGAACTGAGTGGCAAATTAATTCTTGAATTCCTGCAAACTCAAACTTAAAGTTCTCCATTTTGTTTCAGTTAGCTCTGCCAGTAATTTCATCCTGCCATCAGAGCCAAAGAATAGATGTTTTAAAGGTTTAAAGCTCATTTTACAGGTGAACAATGGATATAATCTTAAATTGATTAAAAATGATGTTCTTTCCTTGAAGGTACAAATATTGAAGGAAGTTGAACTCTTTAACGTGGGTTTTTGAGCACCAGCTGCTGTGATGTTTATATTGTTAATAAATCTATATATAATCTGCTTTGATGATTTATTCTGCTTTTGATTCTATAAGAAGCGGCATGTTATTTAATTCATGCAGTTTGATAATGTTTGTTGCACATGCCACGGTCTCCAAAGCCCTTTTTTAATTTACAGTTTTATGTCTTAAGTTTTGTCCTTTTTATTTCTGCAACTTTTGGATGGATTGCCATAATATTGTATACAGATATTAATTGTACTCAGAGGAGGATTTCAAAACTAAACTAAACTAATGAGTCAGTAAGCCTCAGCTGTAATTTGTGTATACTGCTAATTAACAAATGCGAGCATGCTAAACCAAGATGGTGAACATGGTAAACATTATACCTGCTAAACATTTTCATGTTAGCATGCTGATGTTAGCATTTAGCCTCACAGAGCTGCTACAGACTACAGAGTCTAGCATGAAGTAGAACTCTTACTCAGAGAGCTCAGACCTCGACACATCCAGTCAAAGCTGTGAAATAAGACAAACTCACCACCTCTTCGTCCTCCTCTTCCTCTGGTCCGGTGATGTGTCAGTGTGTGAACTGTGAGCTGAACTGAATCAGCAGTGTGAGCGTGTCAGCAACAGCCAGTGGTGACTGACATGGAAGCGATTTTACTACCAAACCAAAACAGACATTAATCCTCTCTAACCCGACTTAATCCACCAACCACCAACCTCTCTCTATACCTCCCTCTTCTCTTTGATCCCTTCTGATATTTTTAAAATCTTATTCTTTCCCCGCTTCACCTCCTGTCAATCACTCCATCTGTTTCTTTGGTGTGCTCTTCACTCTTTCATTGTGTAGATCCCTCTGTGTAGCTCACTCCTATCATTAACTCGCTCTTTCACTCACTTTAAGCACTTCCACAACAGATCACAAAGCTTCTTAACTCTTTGCTGCTTTTAGCACACACACACACACACACACACACACACACACACACACACACACACGTGGCAGGTCAGTCATGCTCAGCAGCAGCAGGCAACACAGTGTTAAGAGGGCAATAACAGTAGTTGTGATGTATTAAACCCTGCTGCAACATCTGGGTTTTTAAGAGGCAAGCCGTTATCAACTGTGTGTGTGTCTGTGTGTGTTGGGGGTTATCACAGAGTAATGGTCACTGGGTCACCTCCTCAGGGATTAAAACTGATCCTTCAGAAACAGAGACTGTGACAGACGCCACAGAAACAGGCAGACGTAAGAAAACATGACTGCCAAAAAAGGAGCCCTGTTCTCGCACAGCTTTTCCCCCAAAATATCAAACCTCTGCAGGAACATTTCCTTCCAAAGTGTACAAATAACTGCGAAAAAAATTTATATATATGAAATATTATTGTCGCTTTAAGATAAACAAAGTGTTTCAAAATTCCAGGCATGGAAATTATAAAAGGGTGATTTTTTTTTCCAGTAATGCTAAATGAGTTGCGTAACTCACACATACAGTATGCGCAGACACACACACAAAAAGTAATTCAGTTATGCTAATATTTTCTTTTTATCGCAAAGCTTTAAAAAGCTCTTTAGACGTTTGAGGAATAGTATTGTACATGAACGGTATTGTTTTTTTTTCTCCTTTTCCACAATGCTCTAAATATATTATAAATGAATGTTACTATTCATACAGTGCTTTGGCAATGCTGTATCTGATCATGTTGATGGCAACAATTAAGATGTTTATGAAAACATCTTAAGTGCTATACAATTTATATTCCTAAATGAAAAAGAGCAGGAGGTTTAAATTTAGCAGGTGGACAGCAGATCGGAATTTAATCGGAACCTGGAACAAAATATAACTACAAAGCGACGCGAACCATGAGTGATAAGTTCATACATCACCTATAAAATTCAGAAGAAAGATGTTACTATACTGTAGAGCAGATGTTTTTAGTGTTTAGGTTTATTTGGCATACCTCGTATTTTAAGTCAGGTTTCTTATTAAGATGCCCGATTATTTATATTTCATAAAGGTCTGAATTCTCTGATTCATCTGAGGCTCAATATCAGCAACACCAAAGAACAGGTGGTAGACTACCAGAGGAACTGGGGGCCCCTTATCATCCAGGGAGAGTATGTGGAAAGAATGGACTCATACAAACACTGAGGCCCTCCTCAGGAAGGGACAAAGCAGAGTGTTCGTCCTGAGGAGACTCAGATCCTTCAGTGTGTGCAACAAGCTTCTGAAGGTCTTTTACCAGTCGGCTGTAGCCAGCACTCTTCGCTGTGGGGTGGGGTTTAACAAGCTGGTAAGGAAGGCCGCCTCTGTGGTTGGGCTGGAATTGGACAGTCTGGAGTCAGTGGCGGAGAGGAGGATGAAGAACAAGATCAACGCCATCAGTTGACCCCTCTCACCCTCTCCATGACGAGCTGTGGCAGATGGGCAGCTCGTTCAGCCACAGGATCAACCCACCCAGATGTGAAGCCTGTGCCCACTGCCATCTCACTGTACAACAACAGTGTACAGGATAATTAAGAACAATTTTTCGGTCAAAAAACGAAAAATCGTAATGTTTTAGTTTTAGTATTTTGACCGGAATGCAGATTTCCCTTTAGCACCCTGACCTCCATTGACATCACTCTGACCAGACAGCTTCAGATAACATGATATGTACAGGTGTTCAGAATTCACTGAGTAATGACGAGGCAAGGAGTGCAATTCTGATGCTAATGGCAGCAGTGTCTCTTTAGTGTTTTAATGTATCTTAATCAGCTCTTACTCTCTTACTCCAAACGAAAAAACACAACATGTTTGTGCTCCAGAACCACACACTTCAGTGTTTTCTGATCTGGCACTGCTATCGGCAGGACGACATAGTTTGTCAGTGCTTTCCAAAACTGTTACAAACTGAAATTGCTTAAGGCAGGTAAATCAACGTCCACTAACTGTGTCACAACAAAATAGCACAAGTCGTTTTTTATCAAGAAACTCTCAACCTCAGTAAAAAAAGATGTCGGTAAAAATCACAAAAGCTACAGAGGAATAAAAACTGATATACAAACAGTTAAAACCACGTTAGGTTGATAAGATAGCAGTGCGGTCATCCGGAATAAAACCTTCATTGCAGGTAAGAAGGTGAACAAGGTGAACAAGGAATGTAAAGATAATTCTTTTGATGTATTTGCAGATAAAATAATTATTCGGGGGAAAACTGAAAGAAACAGTGGTATTGTCTAAGGTTTGCTTTGGTTTAGGCACAAACACAACTTGGTTAGGGAAACATTGTGGTTTGGATCAAAAGTAGTACTTCTTTGCGAAAGATCGATTAGATAAAAAACTGACACCAACAACACTGACCTCACCATTGTGTTGTTTTGGATCACAGAAGTCCCCTGAGGCCTTCGCAGTGTTACTACTGTGTCATAATTAGCTGTTTACAGACTGGCTGTAGTCAGGCCGCTCCCATGAGGCCTGGCCTGTTGTTCACCACAGAGGAGGTGGCCGACTAATGACCCTCATTACAGTATCCTTACATCAGCTGTGTTTTTGTGAGATTGCATCATACTAATTGGAGGATACACACACACACACACACACACACACACACACACACACACACACACACTACAAACACTTTAAAAGTTACTTTATTGCCATAGCAGATTTTGAAGATATACTGTTATGAGAATAGATAAAACTACTGCCAAAGGTTTTGAATTGGCTGACAATGTTTTTCTTCTTTCCTTCAGTAATTTCAGCAGAGACAAAAACTGTATAATTTAGACACCAAAATGTATTATTTACATTTCAAATAGTTTTGGCCCCAAAGGAAGAAAAATGAAATGATTCAAACTTCCATTTAGTCAACGTCCCCACAATGGAGAGTACTGTTATTTTGAATGAGTTTATGTTTTCCTGTCCAGAAAATCGTGATTAGTACCCCATGATTTCCGCGATGCGTAAAACATGGACGTAATTTGATATTAATACTGTATGATGTGGACTATTGGGGAATTTGCCAACATGTGGATTCAATATATATAAATCTGGGTGTGCTATGCTGCTATGTTTTGGTGTCATTTATGGGCACGCTGCTTCAGTCCTCTGCGCTGTCTGTTCACCAAGTTGGGCCAACTGAAGGAGGAAAACTCTCAGCTCAGCCGCCATTTGCCACTCGCTCACCCTTAAAGGAAAGCTGAGACGAAGCAACAATGTGATGGTCAGAAGGACAGAGCATCGGCGAGAGAGAGCACCTCTCAGCAGAGATGCAGGCCCTTTTATGGAAACAGGCAGTGTCTGTCGTCCCCACTCTCAATATACGGAGCGTGTTTTATTCCACGTAATTCCTGGTTCCCAAGAAGACCAGGGAGTTCAGACCCATTTTGAATTTCCACGTTCTAAACCGATGTACTGTCTGTAAGACGTTCCATTGGCAGCTGCTGGAACTAATTCGACAGGGTTATCGGTTGACCACCATCGACTTAAAGGACGAATACTTTCATGTCCAGGTGGCACACAGGAAATTCTTAGGTTGCGCCTTCCAGGGAAAGCGTACGAGAACAGCAGGCTGCTATTCGGCTATTCCCTGGCCCTCATGCTTCACACGGGCCAATTCATCTTACACCTAACCAAGTTGGGGTTCATGATAACTTGGCTACTGAACAGTCCCCTACCACGACAATAGGTCGAATATTTGGCTGTTGTGCTCGATTCATGCAGCTGACGGGCTACTCTGACTGAAATCGGACAGACTGCCGCGTTGCAGGCAGCTGGCTACCTGCGGCAGGGTGCGAAAGTGTTATGCATGAAAGGTCATGCAGAATTCTGTGGAGGTGGTTTGCCAGCCTCCACTTCGATGCCAGTAAGCACAAGAGACATTTGGATACTATTCCCCCCTCAGTAGAGAACTACCTACGCTACTGGGGATCCTCACATCTCCTCCCTTTAACATCACCTGTTAAAGGGAACGCAGCTGGTACTAGTTTGCTCCTACGTCGCGGTGTTCACGGATGCGTCCCTGATGGTGTTTGTGTCTTGTGACGTCACGTTGATATTTTGTCACCTGAGTAGTTTGTCATTTCAGTTGTTAGTCAGCTTGGTCATGGAAGTCGCTAGTCAGACCAGTTTGTCACTCGCCAGTGACATGAGTTGCTAGTAAGTCAAGTTACGCCAACCAAGTTCAATTTGAAAGGACACTATCCATGTAACAAGCGTGTATTGACACGCCCTCCCAACACGTTAAAAACTAACGCTAGAGGGGTATCTAGTGCGTTGATCCCCGACACCCAGCATTAGTGTCTAGAAAAAGAGTCACAGTTGAATGGTCGTGTACGGTATTCCAGGCTTTAGTCAAATTCCACGGACTTTACAGTTCCTGACATCCATTTGAAAGCACAATGGTCATCCAGCAGCAGCCCTTCATTCAACACCTGCACACTAGCCAGCAGGACGCTCGGTATACAATTAACCACAAAGCAAGCCTTATCTGTCCGATTCTTGCATGAAACACCACAAACACGGCTCAGAGGTTAAGTTTAGTGACTCAAATTAGCCAAGGTGATACCTAGCAGACAGCTAGCCGCTGTGATGGTACCCACCTGTCATTCAAAAGGGCCACGCCCTTAATTACTCATACG